TCCACTTTAATGGTCAAATAAGCTGCATTTCGCTGCGCCGCCCCGGCGAAATGAAGCTAACTTGACCATTGCTCCAGGCATGATCCTGGAGCTGGACGAAAATGGCAGTCTATGGCAAGCGGATTGTGATCTATTACGTGACACAACGGCATGCCATACTAATCAAGTGCCATCTAGTGGCTGAAAATGGTGGTGTTCAATATTTTCCATGTCAGAATGAATGAAAATAGTCTTATTTCAGCCAAACATTGAGTTATAATGATGGGGAAAAAACTAAATAAGTTGCATCGGCGTAGACGTTGCAGGGTACGCAAATTAGGCAAAAAGGTATGACTAATACACCGGAAATAAAATATGGTGTGTTTCCAGTCTCGTCTTCCCATTCAAAACTGTGGTTCAATTCTCAAATAATTTAAATTGTTTTTTTTAAGTTCAATGAACTCTTTAGTTTGAAAAATGTGTTGAAAAAATAAAAAATGGTATTCGCAGGCTCATATGAAGGCACCAAATGGACGTTCATCCAGTTCTGTTGGAGATTTTTTCTTGTTAAAGAGGAGTTTTTCCTCTCCACTGTTGCCAGTCGCTCTGTGCTTGCTCATAATGGGATACTGACTTGATGTTATGATGTGCTACAATCAAACAGTTTCCTTGGTAATGTTGACCTAATAAATGAAAGATAATAGATTGTAAAAAACTGCTTTAAGTGTATATACAGACCCTTTCCAAAAAATTAGAACATCATGAAAAAGTGTTTAACTTCCATAATTCCATTCAAAAAGTTAATCTTTAATAGAGGATAGATTCAGGGCCCACACTTTAAAAAGTTTCAAGTATTTATTACTTTATTAAAATAAAAAAAAAAAATAAAAAATCAGATTTATTCAGTATTAAAATTCAGGATTTAAAAAAATTTGAATGCTGTGGAGAAATCAGCCCAAATGTTGCAGGGCATGAATGTTTTAAACTGAGTGTGACACTAATCATCTACTAAACTCAAAGCACCTGCACAGGTTTCCTCAGGTGTCATTAAATTGCTTCAGTTTGGTTCAATTGTCTCAGTTCAGTTCAATATGGGGAAGACTGCAGACATAACTGTCCAGTAGACCATCAATGATACCCTCCATAGGATGAGTAAGACACAAAAGTTCATAGCTAAGGAGGCTGGCTGTTTACAGAGTGCTGTGTCCAAGCATATCAGTGGACGAGCAAAATGTGGCAGGAGAAGATGCACCAGCAAAAGAGATGACTGTGGGCTTCATCGGATTATCAAACAGAAGATTCCAGAATCTGGCAGAAATCCATAAAGAATGGAATGAGGCGGGAGTCACAGCTTCACAAACCACCACATTCAGACACATCCAGGAGATGGGCTACAACTGCTGGGTTCCTCGGTCCTCTTTTCTGATGAAAGTAAAGTGTGGCTTTCATTCTGAACTCAGGGTCCAAGTGTTTGGAGGAAGAAGGGTGAGGAACAGAACCCATACTGCTTGAGGTCCAGTGTGAAATATCCACAGTCAGTCATGATTTGGGGTGTAATGTCCGGTGCAGGTGTTGGTAAACTCTGCTTTCTTAAATCCAAGGTCACCACAACAGTCTACCAGAATGTTTTAGAGAACTTGATGATTCCTTCTGCTGAGGATCTGTATGGAGATGCAGATTTCATCTTCCAGCAGGACCTGGCCCCTGCCCATTCCGCCAGAAGCACCTGGTTTGATGTCCATGCCACAGTGCTTGACTGGCCAGCCAACTTGTTGGACCTAAACCCCATTGAGAATCTATGAGGTGTTCTCAAGAGGAAAATGAGGGGCATCAGACCCAACAACAAAGAAGAGCTGACAGCAAGCATCAAGGAAATCTGGGCTTCCATAACTCCCAGTCAATGCCACAGGCTGATTGACTCAATGCCACGTCGCATCGAGGCAGTGATTAAGACAAAGGGATTCACAACCAAGTATTGAAGATTGACATATCGTTTTGAAAGTACCATATTTTGATCGATTTGTTGTTAGCCTGATTTACTTCTTGTTTTTCTGCAAAAACTGAGAAGTAGTGTGGGCTGATGTCATCACAGTAATTTTTTGAAATCCTGTTTTCGTGGGTTTCATGAGCTGGAAGCCCAAATTATGTAAAAATAAACAAATAAATACTTGAAATTTTTTAAATTGTGGGCCCTGAATCTATCATCAATTAAAGATCAACTTTTTGAATGGAATTATGGAAGTTAAAACAACTTTTCCATGATGTTCTAATTTTTTTGGAAAGGGTCTGTGTGTGTGTGTGTGTGTGTGTGTATATATGTGTATATATATATATATATATATATATATATATATATATATATATAAATCTCTATCTACCGGTATATATGGATAGCACCCTGAGATGACTTGTGAACTGGAGCTATGAAAATAAATTGGGAATTTCAGATTCCGAAATATTATATTTTACTTTTAAAAATTACGATTATACATATATACGAGGATACAAAATAAACACCCCAACCTTGTGTGGCCCGTTGAGGCTTTGTTCTTGAAGAAATGTGGAACAGGAGTTGTGAGGAGGCTGGACATGTTGGGGTAGGAGGGCGGTTGGGGAAGGAAGCAGGGCTGCTCCTTCTGGCACTAAGCCTTACCTCAAAAAGACGGTTCTTATCTGCCATGACACACGCGATCACAGACTGACATGAACTCAGTTTACTGTTGATTGCAAAACACACTTCAGCACACAAAAAAAATAAAACCATCTTCTGTAAAGATGTGTGTAAATGTTGTCACCTCACACACAACAGGCAATCTTTTCAATTTGTCTTTAGAAAAATCCATTATTAGCGTGGCTCTGCAGTGCGTGACGTTCGTTACACCACAAACTGCCTAATACCTACACCAAGAAGTAGAAATACGGCTGCATGCTACAACCACAAATGACAGCTTGGGTTACTGTAATAGTTTGATAAGCCAACTGAAATGGGATTACAGATTATTCATAACACATCTGTCAGGTGTCATTTGAGGAGAAGATGACTGTTCAAGAAACTCCCCAACGACTGAGACTGAGTGAGTTCATATTTGAAATTTCTTCTCAGGCATATAGAAACCTCCTCAAAGTGAACAAATCATGCAGAGATTTTGAACATGTTTCACTATGTGTAGTTTTTGGACAAGAGTCAGCTTATTGATCAGAGAGATTGAACCTCGGCTGAGACGATGTGGACATTACAAGACTATCCAGTTTTCACATTTAGTCTCTTTGAAAGTGGAATAAAAATATGTAATTGGCTTATAGTAATACTCATTTTAAATGAGGTTGTATAAAATGAATATGTTTGTATGTGGGTCACTCATCATAATCCGTTACTTTAACTGTAAACGTGGTCCATCCACTTCTTATGTTATAAATATACTTTATAAAAAGTCAATTTGATTTATTAAGTTGTTCAGAAGTTTTTGTTAGTTTGTGGCCCTAAACTATACCATACTTACATAAGTCGCATCAGTCCAAATATGTCTAATAAAGTGGAAAAATTAAACATAAATAAGTCGCTTTGCAGTATACATCGCATCTATTATGCATCACCGCTGACAACTCGGAAATGTGAGCCTGTTATGTGCCAACAATCGATTGGAGGCCAAATGGTGGCTGCGGGAGCGTGCACACGAGGACTTTAACAAGAATTTAACAAGATTAACACATAAAAACAATTATTTGTTTGCTCGAAATTATAGTAAAGGTGTGTCTGAGTTGAACTTTTACTTAATAAATGCACTTTGACGGTCAATTCAGTTGCATTTCTCCTGGGCAGCGCCTCAAAATGCAGCTGAGTTGATGTTTTCTCCAGGAGTTCCAGAGCGAGACAAAGGTGGCTTGGTATGGCAAGCCATGTGTCTCATTAACAACCACTTATACCTATTCATGAGACACTTGGCTTGCATATTAGTCGAGGGCCCTCTAGTGGCTGAAAATGGTAGTGTTCAATATTTTCCATTTCAGAATGAATGAAATCGTCACATCTCAGCTAAAAATTGGATTATAAATGTGTGTAAAAACATAAATACGTCGCTTTGCTGTATAAGTCGTAGTTTTTTGCATAAATTAACATGCCTGCGACTTATATAGCGAAAATTACAGTAACTGTTTATTATTTATACATGTTTCGCTCTACTAAATTTGAGAAAGAAACTGAAAAAAAAAAGTATTTGGAAAATTATGTTATGGCACTGTTCTCATAATATACTGATAAAAAAATAAAGCATCCCTTGTCACAGGAAGTAGAGTTCATTTGACATGAGGGTGTGGTGTCCTGTGTAACTGTGCTGCCAGTGGATGTGATCTATTGGCTTTGTAAGCTCAGATTTAGCAGATTATTTAAAAATCAGCAATAATCAACCAAATATTCAGCCTACTGATCAATAACTGGTGTACTCCTAATAAAATCCTGACAAATGGCGTCAGTGAGATTGTGGAAAGCATTTATAAATATTATGCAATTAAACTAGCTCAGTTTTTTGTAATCATACTGTCACCTCACACAACTATTGCAGGTAAATCTCATTTTCATGAACAGGATCTTCCTCCTCACTACTGGACCCAAACAAATGCAGACTTTTCAGAAATGCAATTTAAACCTTGTATTTAGAGACAAAGTTGAGAAAACTGGTCAGAGATGAGGCTGGCAATAGTTTCCCACTCTCAGACATGGGACCTGTTTTCAGAACCGTCCTTGGGGCTACCATTTTCCCCACTTCCCTAATTTCATTCATTGAGTCTTTAGATTACACACTTCCCTCTCCTGCTGTTCAGTTTTGTTTCACAAGAAGTTGGTTATGATTATGAAAACATTGTGGTTAGGTACTAAAATACACTTTTTTGTGTTACAATAAAATCCAGCATTATCAGATGAGAGGACCAAGTTTCAATAAACCGTGTTGAGTTTGCTTAATGCAGCAACTTCAAAAGTTAAGTTTGAGACTTTGTGCCAGCTTTTGGACCTTTGCAGACCTCACCTTCTCCTGAACATCTCAGCGAAGATGCAGCCGACACTCCACAGGTCCACTGGTGTAGCATAACTGGACTGGAGCAGAACTTCTGGGGCTCGGTACCACAGTGTCACCACCTACACAGCAATCAGCAGAAATCCACTCAGATTTTATTGTAAAAGTACAAAGCCTTGATCAGTTGCAAGCAGTTTTAAGTAAAAGTCACCATGTGGGCTCTCGTACCCACACATGCTTTTAAAAGCTGTTCTGACGCCATCTTGGTTTAAAGTAAAATATGAAATAGTATCCGGCAGGACTTCTCTCCGTCTTTCAATCTGGTGTACACACATCAGACCGTCTGCAGTATATGATATATGCACATTAATAATACTGTGCATAGTTTTATTTGCCATCATTCAGTATGTGTTCTTGCGATCTAGGCAGATGACATATGTGAGGTTATTTTGGCCGAACCACCCTGCCAGTTCTTCATGCCAAAAATGTACTTCCTGTATTTCAACTCACAACCCATTGTGAGGGCAGCCATTCTGTGCCACTTCACACTTAGCACGGTTTCCAAATTTGTCCCTGAGACCCTGGGACCTCTAAGATATTGTATGTGCATGTGTGTGTGTAGCCAGCAGAAAAGCAGCTCCCTTAACAGCTACAGTAGGGAAAGCCTCCAGACAAAACTCAGTGACCCCTGGTAAGAGAGTGGACTGGTTCCAGGTGCTTTCCTTAACGCAATGTTTTTTTCCAGCAGCTTTCAGCTGAGTTTCACCCTTCAAACACTGGAGAGCGCTTATCAGGATGTTAAGAGTCTTAAAGGCAAACGCCTGGGAACAAAACGAGGGCAGTGTCAAATAGATACCTTTGGATTGGCTTGTTCTGTGTCGGGGTGATGAAACACTACACTGATGTTGAAATAAATGTACACGTGCTTACATGCACATAAACATTTAGAACATGAGTAGTGGGCTTAAAAAATGTATTTAACTGTATGAATACCAAACAACTGTTCTATTACTTTTCCCCAGGTGTGGAAGTACAACTAAGTCCTTTCAAACTTGTCAGACACATTTTTATAAAAGCAGAATTATCAGAAAACTAAATTGTGCACTGTGCACCTGGTTTATTAAGATACGGTAGTTCATGGATTTACTGTACTTGCAGCCGTAAGTACAAGTCGCACCACCGTATAAGTCGCATTTATGGGGGACGAGATGGAGCAGAGGCAGGGCAGCCAACTCGGGACCCGAAAATCCCAGGTTTGATCCCCAGTCATTGCCCATGTTGTGGTGTCTCTGAGCAGGACACCTTATCCCCAATTGCTCCCTTGGCACTTTCAATAGCTGCTCACTGCTCCACCTGAGTGTAGCCTAGGAGCAATGAGTTAAATGCAGAGCCAATTTCGCCATCGTATGGGAACAAACAATGATGACAACACATAACACATTATATTATCAGTCCAAATATGTCTAATAAAGTGGGAGGAAAAAACAAGTCGCTTCGCCATACAGGTCACATCCATTATGCATCACCGCTGATGCGTCACATATGCGTCATTGCTGACTACCCAGAAACATGGGCCGGTGTTGTGCCAAAAATTGACTGGCCACGGGAGTGTGCACGAGAGGACTTTAACAAGATTAACATTTAAAAACTCGAAATTATAGTAAAGGTGTGTCTCAGTTGAACTTTTCCTTAATAAATGCACTTCAATGGTCAAATCAGCTGCAGTTCTCCTGGGCGGTGAAATGAAGCTGATTTGACGTTTGCTCCAGGAGTTCCTGAGCGAGACGAAGGTGTCTTGGTACGGCAAGCCAAGTGTCTCATTAATAGCCACTTTGACTATTAATGAGACACTTGGCTTGCCATATTATTCGAGTGCCATCTAGTGGCTGAAAATGGTAGTGTTCAATATTTTCCATGTCAGAATGAAATCATCAGATCTCAGCCCAAAATTGGGTTATAAATATGGGGGGAAAAAAGTATATTAGTCGCTTCGGTGTATAAGTCACAGGATGTGCAAATTTATGCAAAAAGGTGCGACTTATACGGTGAAAAATATGGTACTAGAAAATTGGAAATCATGGAATTTTTGTGATCAACTACAAGGACAGGATCTGATTTAGTCGAACCTCTGGCAGTAATACTCCAAAATCCAGTCATATTTAAATTGCATTTGTCTAATAAGTTAAGGGATTAATGGAAATGTAAGTCACCAAAATCAATGACTGCTTTGAAAGTAGAAAAACTGAATATAGATACAATGCAGACAATTTGAAGTACAATAAATTGTTCACATTAAAAAGAAATGATGATTAACTGATCTTTAGGAACGCAACCATCTCATTAAAGCATACTGTCACTGCCAGTACCCCATAATGGATTAAAAACAATGTCAAATGTAGAGCAATCTTTATAATGAGACGTTAAAGAGCATCATGGGCTCATTGTTTTTGTCACACCTGATTAAAACGGGTTTGGGCAAGAAATGGTGCATTCCACTGGAGTATCCAACTCCTCATGGTTGGTGCTAGAATCAAGGTGTTCACTTTGTGTTTTTGTTTTTAGCTTTTAAACTTAAATCTCTGGTTTTTGCACAAGTCTAATGATTCAATAATTCTAAGTTGGGTCATCTGGATTGCATCAATTTTTAGTGGACGTGTGATAATGACTATATGATGCAGATTCTGGGCTGCACAGAGGAACAGTAAGTTAGCACTAATGAAGGTCCTAGGTACGGCTGCAAGATAGAAAAACTTGAGATGTGAAATATTGTTTAATGTGACATCAGTAGAAAATAAAAATTCTCACATCTCCCTTTTTCTTGTACATGAATTAATTTTCTATGGGCACTTCAGTTTCCTCCCACAGTCCAAAACATGCATGTTTGATTACCGTGTTTTCTGCGGTAAACGTTGATTGGCTGCCAAACGGCGGCCGCAGGAGCGTGCATGGGAGGACTTTAACAAGAATTTAACTAGATTAATACTTAAAACAATTATTTGTTTGCTCGAATTATAGTAAAGGTGTGTCTCAGTTGAACTTTTACTTAATAAATGCACTTCAATGCTGAAATCAGCTGCATTTCGCCAGGGCGGCGCAGCGAAATGCAGCTGATTTGATGTTTGCTCCAGGCAGATGACGGTGGCAGGCTTTGGCAAGCTGACTGTGTCATTAATAGCCACTTTTACCCATTACATGATACAATGGCATGTCATACTGCTCAATTGCCATCTAGCGTCTGAAAATGGTAGTGTTCAATATTTTCAGTCAGAATGAATGAAAACGGTCATATCTCAGCTAAAAATTGATTTATAAATATGGGGGGAAAATCTATAAATAAGTCGTTTCAGCGTATAAGTTGCAGGGCAAGCAAATTGTGCAAAAATACTGCTACTTATAGGGCAAAAAAAAAGGTAATTGGTGACTAAATTGGCCTTAAGAGTGTGAGTTTAAGAGTCCAAGATTGTTTGTTTTTAATCAAGAATTTAAAAAAAAGATCACACATGTAAACAAACTCCACCACTCGTGTCTCTCAAATATGGATTTCATGCAAATCGGGTTTATTGAAAATTGTACATGAACTCTAGTATCTGAAATAAAAGAGTCTAAATTAAACACCAAGTACACAACAAAGACGTATGAAAAATTGGATCATCTTTTTTTTTCTTATAAAGTTTCTTATAAACTTGATGTTGCTATTAATAGAGCAGGGGGCTGCATTTTGCAGATGTGTTTTACTTTCATCTCTGCTTCCTGCTTCAGTGGAAACAGGGCGGAAGTTGAGGCTAGTTGGCTGAGTTGATGCAACAGCTACGCCATGTGACCAGAAATAGAACACAAGCTCAGAATGAGACTTATTGAGGGAGTCATTGATGAGTTTTACAGCAATAAAACCTCAAAGAAAAGAAGTCATGCTGCTGCCCCAAAGCTACACAGTCATATTTAAGTTTCAGAGTTTTATTAACGTGGGAAAATTTAGGCTTGCTTTTTTTTTTTTTTGGACATTGTTCAAAGAATTTGATTAGTTACTTGTATCAGCTAAGAAATCATAATTATCCTCAGTCCAAGCTAGGCACTGTATTAGCCTTTACCAATATCTTGTGTGTATTTGAGCAAGTTATTTTATGAATTAACCAGTGTGCATGTTCTTGTAGTCTTGCTGCTGCAGGCTCAGATGCACATGCCTTCAATTCACTGCATAGATTTCACACTCTGCAACGTCAAAAAGACCAGAGTTGATATGAGCACTCACAGAGCCTTCTAGGAAGAACCACAGACCTGAAGCTCGAAGCATATCCGCCTCGCAGTTATTCGAAAACGAGGCCACACAAGTGCAGATTAAAGCAATAATTTTTATTTTTAACACGTGCACACTTGTAGATGCAACAACAGATACACGCATTAGGTTTAATTTGATATCAAATGTGTTTGCTTCATGCACTACAGGTTTCATTTACTTATCTATTGCATCTAAATTATCTTCCACACTTTGTCAAAAATCTGCCCAAAATCCATTTTTTAAGATAGTTCTAGAACATAAAAGTGCAAGAGGGAAAAAAAAGCTAATCTATTTTTAGCTGTGGTTTTTAAACTTGTTTCCCCCCAAAAAAGAACGATCAGATGCATTTCATAAACACTCTTTTAAAAAAATAGTCGTGTCAAATGTCAATAGCTGTGACATTAAATGCACATCGAGATGGCACCCATGTGCAGTTTTCAGAGTATCAGCGGCTCCCATCAGGACGCAGATGTCCAAGCTGCAGGACACAAAGGAGGAAGACAACTTCCTCCCCAGGACAAGCCAGCTTCTAAACTCTAGCCTTGACTTACTTTGGCCTACACAATTACATTTACAGTATTTTAATAATGCATTTTACAACATTTAGGCCTTTATATTTTATAGCTTACTGATCCATGCATTTCCAATTTTCTACTTATATATATGCATTTTACACCATTTGTCTATGCACTCACAATTTTTATCTATTTACTGTATATACATATTTTTATTACTTATTTATCTGTGCCCTTTTCTATCTTTATCTTTTAATCTCTGCATGATGGCCATGCTGCCTGAATTATGTATTTTGTTGTGAGCGTTGTGTTTTGATCTGTATGTTGTTGA